GTGATGAAGGTAGTAGAATTTTCCCACAATGATATGAGTAAAGCTGACGTTTCCATTAAATTTCACATGGTCTTGCTTTCCTAAAAGTTGTTCTCATCCTGGGTGAATTGTAGTTTCGACCTCGCATATGTCTTATCAACACCGACAGCAGGAGTCGAACCATGACAGTGCAGTATGTGAGCTTGACACGTTAACCACTCGGCTACATTGCCACGAGTGCTCTTGGGTCACAGGGCAGATGTGAATTTCAAGGAAGACCAAGCTCTTTTCCATATCACATTCTTTGGTGGGAGTATCGATAAGCAAACGTATTTTTGCTATAACAATCGACTACATTACTTATTAATCGTATGGAAGAAGAATTTCGAGACTACTGAGGGTGTCGATAAGACCTATGCGAAGTCGAAACTGCAGTCCATCCTGTATGAGAACAACTTTTGGGAAAGCAAGTCCATGTAAAATTAAATGGAAATGTCAGTCCTACTCATATGATTGTGGGAAAATTCTACTACCAGTCCTTCATCACCTTAAACGAAATAGGGTAAATACATCCCATATTTTAATCTTCTGTCTAGAACATGCCCTGCGGCAAGCTAAAAGAGTTTAGATCTAGTTACTGAGCATTTTGGATAATGTGGTTTTATAGGAGTTAATTAGAAAAAGCATAATGCGAACAAATGGAAAATGCATTAGCAGTCACGGTGAATCTAAGGCACTTCCAATATTGTGAAAGCGACAGAGGAGAATATTTCGGAAAATCTTTCGAACATAAAACATAATTAATTCTTAAAAAACGAGACGAAATATGAACAAGTGCATTGCGTATTGTTATAATACCTTTTATTTCGTCTAAAGAAGCAAGTAAAAGGGATTCCTAAATTGGTCTCGCTAGAGTTCGAAGGGGAGTTGCCTTGGAACTGTGACTGTATATTTGTGCGAATAAGTCATCGGCTCACCATCTTGCAACCCCGATTAATCCGTATAAAGATTTTGCCCTTCATGTAAGAGACATCACCAAACATGGAGGCAAAAAAATGGCCTGCTGAAATCCTACCTATTTCTTATAGTCTAACTTTATCCACTTGAGGATGATTTTATGTGCTATCTAATGCATGCTCAACATGCTTGCTGATGACACGTGAAGTTTATGCAATTGTCTGTGTTTTGGTGAATTATCATAAGACATGGTGTTCATCACATGAAGGATGAAAGGTTAGTGACAGTTCATTGGGGTCGCGGGACGATGAGCCGAGGACTTATTTGCACACAACTTCAGTCGAAGCTATAAGGTAACCTCCTGTAAGCTTCCGGTGAGACCATGAGATCATGAGAGATAAGGGACAGCGAAGACTACCTGAACTGTCGCTGGTGCAGCTGCAATATCTGCTTTGTTAGCCCTTGGAAATGCAGGGAGAGCAAAAGAACGTGCAAGTTCTGGGACAACTAGCGCCTCGGTAGAGGCTCTGCTGCTGACAGCCGCTTCGTGCTGAGCAATAGAGGGTCTAGTAAGCTGCAGGTACTTGGATGCATTGCTGACAGAGTCTGGTTGCTCGAGTCGACTTAGCCGACCGGCCGTAGTGGCACCACGTTGTCTGCAATAGGAAGTCCGAGACGAGGGCAAGTGAGATACGAACGAAGACATAAATGTGGTGTATTGAGCAGCAATAGAAAGATTTTGCATTGTAAGGTAGGAAGTCATAAGTATGTTAGAATAAAGTTTGTGGGCGCATGAAATGAAAAATGTATGTGTCCAGCGCTGCAGTATCTCATGGCGATTTATTCAGATAAGTTTAAGTTAAGCAGTTTCGAGTGATTTGAGGCATTTGAGTAGTTTGGGATGCATTGAAATAAAAGATGAGATATAAAAGTGGAATAATAATAGTGTGGAGCACTGGGTTATGCTAATGGTTTGTGGTTTGGAGAGATGGTCCGTCGATAATATCGTTAGAAGGTAGATGGAGTATGGATGCTGAGGGTGAATGATAAGAGTTGAAGCAAAGTATGTCTGGAATTAAATGGCTTGGTGCTATGAAATGA